ACCATAACTGTACAGTGTGACATCTTGACTGATGTGAATTTCTGGATCGACTGTAACTTCCAATTTATCAGCAAGTTCATTCATCCTGTTCATTTTCCATTACTTGCTTTGCATCTTAATCTGACTGATGGACCCCCTCCTTCCTTTTCCTACTCCTAGGGCAGAACTTCAGCATATTTTTTCAATTTTAAACAAAAATTGTCTGCAGCTCCTTTTGATTTTCTGTCACACCCATAGAGTAACTCAAACATTGCAGTTAGCCTGTCTGGGATATTCCAAGTTGCTGTGTAGCTACACAGCTAAGAAAGACTTTTGTGCAGTGCTAACGTGACATTGCATTTTTAAAAAAAATTTCACAGGGTATGGATGTGACCAGTTAGGCAAGATATTATTGCCCATTCCTCCTTGCTCTTAAGAAGGTAATGGTGAGTATTTAAGGAACGGTGATAAAGTTCCAAGCCAAAATGATGTGCAACTTGGAGATTACCTTGCAGGTGATAACATTCTCATGCATCTGCTCCCTTTGTCCTTCTAGATGGTAGAGGTTGTGTGCTTGGAAGGTGCTGTCAAAGGAGTTACGGTAAGCTGTTGCAGTGCATCTTGGTGGAGGGAATGAATGTTAGAGGGAGTGAATGTTAATAGGAGTGGATAGGGTGTCAATCAAGTAGGCTGCTTTATCCTGGATGATATCAATCTCAAGTGTTGTTGGAGCTACACTCATCCAGGCAAATGGAGTGTATGCCACTACAGTTTTGTCTTGTGCTTTGCAGATAGTGAGCAGGCATTGGGGAGTCAGGTGGAGAGTTACTAACCACAAAACTCTTAGCCTTTGATCTGTTTTTGCAGCTGTAGTATTTATACGGCTGATCCAGTTTACTTTCTAGCACATGGTAACCCTCAGAATGCAAACAGTGGCAGGATTCTGCAATGCTAATGTCACTAAATGTCAAAAAGAAGTGATTAGATTCTCTTGTCGGAAACAGTCATTACCCAGCAGTCGTATTTGTAATTTTACTGGCCATTTATCAACCAAACTTGAATGTTGCCTAGGTCTTGCTGCATATGGACACAGGTTGCTTCAAGACAAAAATCAATAGAATTCTGAAGACTAATGAGATCAAGGGTTATGGTGATAGTGTAGGGATGTGGGGTTGAGGAGGATGATCGCTATGATTTACCTGGAATGGTGGATCATGCATCACTGGCTGAATGGACTGCTCTTGTTCCTTTGTTCAGCATCAGAGGAATCACAAATGGTGTAGACATTATGCAGTCAGCAAAGAACATTGCTACTTCTGACCTTATGACGGAAGGTCATTGGTAAAGCAACTGAAGATTGTTGGATCTAGGACATTGCCCCGAGATACTCCTGCAGTGATGCCATGCGACAGATGAATAATCTCCCAAAACTAGAACAATTCCTGTTTATGCTAGATATGGCTCCGACTTCTTTATGCCATACTTGGTCAAGTGCTGCCTTGGTAAGGGCAGTCCCTCTTACTTCATTTCTGGAGTTCAGCTCTTTTGTGTATGTTTAAACTAAGGTTTTGATGTGGTCAGTAGTAAAGCAGCCCCGGCAGAATCCAAAACAAATGTGGATGAAACATGCCTTGAGAATTTTTCACAGTGCTGGGTAGATACCAGTGTTGTAATTATGCAGGAACAGCTTGGCTAGGAGCATAGTTAATTCTGGAGCACAAGTCTTGCTATAATGGGCCCGTAGCATTTGCAGTATCTTGACAGCCTGCAGAATGAATTGAATTGGCTCAAGACTAGTATGCAAGATACAGGGAACCTCACAAGGATGCTGAGGTGGATTAACTATTTGCACTTCTGGCTGAAGATTGTTGCTAATGCCTTGACTTTTGGACCTAGGCATCGGCTCCTTCACTGCAGAGGATGGGGTGATTGATGGAGCTGATGTCTCTTGTTTAATTGTTAACTTCTCCATCACAATTCCTGACTTGATGAAGCAGAACTCCAGTGTTAGATCTTAACTATTAATTGTGGAATTGCTTAGCTCCATCACATGCTGCTTCTGTTTGGCATGCAAATAGATTGTGTTATAGCTGCAGCAGATTGATAGCTTAAAATCTCTTACTGTGCAGAAAGTGGCTGTTCAGCACATGGGTTCTGCACTGGCCCACTGAAGAGCATCCCACCCAGATCCAATCCCCATCCTATCCCAGTAATCCTGCACTTACTATGGCTAATCCACCTCACCTGCACATTGTTGGACACTACAGGGCAATTTAGCATGATCAATCCACCTAACCTTCACTTTTTGGGCTGTGGGAGGAAACTGGAGCATCTAGCAGAAATCCTCTCAGACGTGGGGAGAATGTGCAAACTCCACACAGACAGTCACCCAAGACTAGAATCGAACCCAGGTCCCTTGCACTATGACACAGCAATGCTAACCAGTGCGCCACTATACTGCCCTATTTTTATGGAATGCATGATGCTGCTCTTAGCATGCCCACCTGCACTCTTCATTCAACCAGGGTTGATCCCTCAGCTTGATGGCATTGGTAGAGTGGGGTATGTGGCAGCTATGAGGGTACAGTTCTGCTGATGATGGCTCACACTAGTTCAGGGAGGCCCAGATTTGAGTTGCTAGATCTATTCTCGGTTTGAAATCTGTTCCACTAGCACAGTAGTAGTGCCAGTCAACAGCTGGAGGGAATCCTCAACGCATAGATGTAACTTCATCCCCGCAAGGGCTGTGCAATGGACACTCCTGCCAATACTACCATGGACAAATACATGTGCAACAAGTGGTTGGGGAGGACAAATTCAAACAAGTTTTTTCCTCATCACAGGCTGCAGATCTAGTCTATCAGCTATATCCTTCAGCATAAAATTGGTGATATCAGGCTACAACCACTGAAAGCTTCACAACCATTATAACCTCCAATCAACTCCTTAAGCTTTAGAATATGGTTGATCTGTATATCAAGTGCATTTATTTGCCATTGTTCCATACTCTTTGATAATATTACCTAAGAAAAATGTATAAATTGGTCTTGAAAATTTCAATTCACCCAGCATCCAGTCTTTTGGGAAAATAAATTCCAGATTTCCATTACCTTATCTTTAATTTTCCCCCTTTTTCTGGAAGCCTCACCAGAGGAAACAGCTTCTCTGTATCTGAAGTGTCAAATCACTTTCATATTAGAAACATTGAGTGTGTTTCTTGTTGGCATTCTAAACTCAAAAAAATACAAGACAAATAATGCAACTTGTCCTCAATTTGTGCTCCATTTTTGTATTGGTGACTCAACACCGTACTCCCATCTCAGTCAGTGATAGCATTCTTGATTCAATCAGTAAACCCAAATCTTGTACAACAGGCTTGAGCAGAAAGTGGCAGTCTGACACTTCCGTACACTACTGAAAGACTGCAAAACTGTTGGAGGTGCTGTCTTTGGGATGAGTTGTTAAACCAAAGTTACACCTGTCTGAATCTCATGTAGTTTATAAGATCACTTGGCATAATTCAAAGCAGAGCTCAGGGGTTCTCCAAGTGACTTAGCCAATATTTATCCCTCAAACACAATCAATTTAAAAAACATTATCTGGCCCTCCTATGCAAGCACATTCCTTCTTGGGTAAGAAGGCCAAAGCAGAGTGTCCTCTCATAACTAGCAAGATTAGCATTTATTAGCCACCCAAAGCCTTTGGAAAAGTGGTCCTGAGCTTCCTTCTTAAATCATTACGTTAACGTTGAAAGTACTGCCACAGTGTTGTTAAATAGACAATTCCAGTAACAATGATCAAACATCTTCTGGAAGTCCCTATAAGCACATATCCATGGACTCTCTGATGATATATCATCAAGCTGAAACGTTAATTTCTGTAATTCTGTTTGTCTTTCCACAGATGTTGCCTGACCCAAGGAGTTCCAGCTTTTTTTTAAAAAAAATTCAGGTTTTCCCGCACCTGCTGTATTCTGCTCTTATGACTGTCTTTTATCAGTTATGTCAGTAACCTCAAAAAATCCATTAGATATGATTTACACAAATCTATATTGATCCTCTTTCAATCAGCTCAGGTTTTCAAACACTCAGTTACTATCCTGCTCATAGTATCTTCCAATTATCCCCAGAACTAATGGTTATGTAGTTTATTAGCTTCTCGCTCCTTTTAGTAGTGAAAATAATGGAACAACACAAATTTTGACCAGCTTTGCCTCTAACTTCCCTTTATTTTAGACCAGCTTGCTCCTACAATCTCTCACTAAACTGCCATCAACTCCCTATCTTCAAAACCTGTCTTCCATCATGACATAGGTCACCTCCCCAATTTCTCGAATTCCGAAGAAGCGCCACTGAACCCGAAACGCTGAGTCTGCCTTCTCTGTACAGATGCTGCCAAACCTGCTGAGCTTCGCCAGCAATTTCTGTTTTTGTTTCAGATTTCCAGATCTGATGAAACCTGAAACGTCAACGGGTCTTCTTTCACTGCCCAGGTCTGCTGTTTGTTTTTTTTTTAAAAGACGTGGCTGGAAACATCAGCTGTTGAACCGGCGACCAAGCCTGTTCAAAGCCAAGACAAAAGATCTGTAAATTATTTGTCACTATTTGCAAGCTCCAGAGTGTCGGTCCGCTTTAATCGCTCCTTGGCCAACTCTGGGATATTTGACAGGGGTATACAAAAAATGTTTTCCGTCTTTTTTGGTGGGGTACTGGGGAGACACAATGATGCTAAGGGCCGGGGATTCATCATGATGAACCCGGAGCCCCAACCAATCGCACAATGAGGCGGCCTCATCGCTCGCTCCGCGGATAAACAAGAGCAGGAAGGGGATTTAAAAATTAAAAAAAACATATAGCCTCGCAAAGACATTCTCAAACGCAGTCGGATATTGTGCCGTCTCGTGATCAGCGCGGGCAGCCGCCCTCACAACTCACCCAGACACCACCTTCATCCTCCCCATCCTCCCCGCCCTCCCTCATTGACAACTTAAAAACATCCAGATAATGCTTGTAAATTCATACCGGCAAATTGCAAATCACAATGAGTGCCACCCTATTGTGTGTGTGATTTTTCCTTTCTTCCCTCTTAGAATTTGGCTCACTGCTTTCGGCTTTTTCTCCACACTCGCTGTTGACCGTTATTTTCCTTCTCCATTGCCATCTGACAACCGGGGACTCAGTCACACAATCTGGCAGGAAACGCTTCCCGACACCGCACTGCGCCTGCGCGCCGTCGTATCGAGCCCTAAGGCTCAGGATTTGGCAGGTGGACGCTGGCAGGGATGCACGGCTCCCCTCCCCCTCGGCTCTCGTGGGGCGCTTGTTCCGTCGTCTGGGAGGCGACCGGGGATGGGTCAGCGATCATCCTGGATGAAGGGAAAGAAATCCAACCCGCCCCACAAGTTCTGTGTACTTGTGGTGAGAAAGTTCCATGCGGTATGCCAACTTACCCGGCTGCATGGTGCAGTAGGAGCGCCGTGGGCCCCAGCCCTCGCCCTCTTCCCGGGCGCGAGCCGCAGCCGTTGGCCATTGTCTTGAGGCTGGCGCCGCTCGCGCAGCCTCGGGCCAGCGGGAGGTACCGCTGCCACGGGGCCCGGCCGCTCACCCAGTGAACGCGTCTCCTAGAAAGATACCGTTTATACCCCATTCCACCCCCTCTTTCCCGTTCAACCCCCCCTGAATGTTTAAGGATAACCTGACGACGACTCCTGTGAAGCAGAGACGCCAATATTGACCTGCGGTATTTAGCTCGACGTTATGCATGCAATTCACCGAGTATTTACCGTGTCCGCTGCCTATATTGCTTTCCTCGGTTCAGTGCTGCATCGTGCGATTCTCGCCATGGGATTTGGGGTGGACTCCTTCACAAGCAGGTTGGAATAAGGGTGTTTATTTCACCTACCCACAACAACTCATGTCCGACTGTCTTTTTACTTACAATGGCAAACAAAGACACTGTTGTCCGACAAGGCTATTGCAGCGTTCTCGTCCTGGCAACAGGGTGTAGCTTCCCAGAGAATTCTCACCTCCTCGATCCCTCGCCCAAAATGTGCCCTGCCTCCCTGACACTTTCTTGAATACTTGTTACTTTATACAATTGGCTATATTTAATCATGGATTTTTTTTAATGTTTCGCCGATGGCGCATTTTTATTTTCAGGCATTTACAGCATTTTAACGATTGTCAAAATGTGAACCCGAAGTACGTCTTTAAAGACCGGCGCTTTAGTGCAAACGTGCATTATTCTGATCCCCCCAGCCCTCCCAGCTCTGCTAAAATAAATATACTTCTATCAACCTCTACTCAAGCGTTACAACAAACTTGCTTATTTTTTAAGCCAACAAAACCCCTAGAGCAGGATGAGATTATTCATTTTACATTGATTTGTCCTTATCCTACTCGAAGAATGGGTTTTGTTGACTTCGGAAGAGCGTGAGGTTTGATGAAAAAATCCTTCAGAAGTCTTAACTGGAAAATAGCAATGTCTTTAACAGAAATATGGACTTCTAATAAATCACATCTAATGACCTATTTGTATTTTAATACACTTAACAATAGATTTCTCGCTTCTGGTGGGAGATTCAACATATTCCCTCCCTGCCGGGCTTGCAAAAGAATGAATATTACATTGTAAAACATGAATAATTGTTGTGCAAATGAGACAGGTCTCCATAATTCAGCAACTATTTATATAGTTACCTTAATGTTTTTATGGGATGTTTTACCGTTATCAGCTAGAATTCAACATTGAGTCACAAAGAGGTTTAGTAGAACAGCTCTGGTTAATGTTGCAGGTGTTAAAGAGCTTTGTGAAGAAAAATAAGAGGCAGCGTGAGTTTGGTAATGAATTCGAGTTTACAGCCTTGGCTGTTGGGCATAGCTACCAAAGATGAAAGATGGACAAAGCATATTTGGGCCAGAAAAAGCAACAGCTGGGAAAAGCTGGAGGCTACGGCAAGAGTAAGGATGAAACATTTAAATTGGCGGCAACACTGGAGCAGAAGCCAATTTAGCCAGATGAGTGAACGTTAGTTTTGGAATGAATTAAAATTTATGGAGAGTGGAAGATGGCATGCCAGCCAGGCAATAAGAGACTTGCTACTTATAATTTCTGTGAAGAAAATCCCTTCAGGTGTATCTATTGCATGAATGTAAATTATTCAGAACTAAAGATAAAAAAGTATGGTACATACAACATGAGGATGAATATAATAAAGCTTTTATCAATCAAAATTCTCACCATCACGAGAGCAGATCTGCACAAAAAAAACTCTTCATTTTAATCAGTGGATTTATTTTCACTGTTGTCGTGTGCCAGTGCTGTATTAAATAAAAACAAGCTTCTTATCAACTTCAGCCCTGGTTTTGACTGGCAATTTTAAACAATCTTTTTTCATAAGTTTATCCTACTTTATCTCCAGTTTTAAATTCGTGAGTGGGAGTTTACTCTTAAATGGAGAGAAAGTGGGAATTAAATTGCATAATACTTATTCTTAAATTTAAAAATAGCCCACTTCAGCAATAGTTCCACTAATGCTCAGTGCCTATGCCACCTGACCTAGGTGACCATTCAGTATTAGGAACACTGCTGTTGATATATATTAATTAGCTGGATTAGGTAGGCATGATGCAATTTTTAACTTTGAATATGACATGAAATTTACAGATGTAATAAACAGTGTTAAAGACAACAATATGGTCATGGTTGTTGTAGACCTATTATTCCAGCCCCAGGATATCACTGCAGGGGTTCTTGAGGATAGATGTTTTCAAATCAACCTGTTTAGAGATGTTTACGACATACTTTTGGAGCAGGTGAACCTGAACCTGGGTCTTCAAATCCAGCAATGGGGACAATATCCTTGTGCCATGAGATCTCTCATTCCTCAGGTTAGATATTTTCCAATCAACCTGTTCAAAGATGTTATTACATAACTTTGGAGCAAGTGGGACTTGAACCTGAGCCTCCTGGCTCAAAGGGAGAGACATTGTCAATGCATCACTAGAACTCTAATTCTTCAGGATATCATATATTTTAAAATGCTCTACTACTGTAGACATTTTCTATTCAACCTGTTCAGGCTAGGTTATGACATACCTTTGGAGCAGGTTGGACTTGAACCCAAGCCTTCCAGCTCAGAACTAGGGACACGACTGTTGTGCCACAAGAGACTGGTTCATCAAGTATTTTCTAATCAACCTGTTCAGAGATGTTATTACACACCCCTGGAGTAGATTGGACTTGGAACCTGGACTCCTCGCCCAAAGGTAGGGCCATTACCACTATGCCACAAGAGCCCTTCTTCCTTAGGATTTTGTAAAGAATTAACTCATATTTTCCCAATCAATCCAATCAAAGATGTTAAATTAAAAACTGAAAGAACAGTGGATGATATAAATCAGGAACAAAAACAGAAGTTGCTGTAAAAGCTCAGCAGGTCTGGCAGCAACAGCTGTGAGGAAGGGCCACCAGACCCAAAACGTTAACTCTGATTTTTTCTTCACAGATGGCTGCCAGACCTGCTGAGCTTATCCAGTAACTTCTGTTTTTGTTCATTCAAAGATTTTATTACACACCTCTGGAGCAGGTGGGACTTGAACCCAGGCCTCTTAGTTCAGGGGAGAGTCTGCTTTGTTTGTTTTTGTATTTAACCTATTTTTCTAATCAATGTGTTAAGAGAGACCGCTATGCTTCTCTGGAACAGGTGGGACCCAAACATGGGGCATGGACACCACCATTGCAGCAGAAGAACCCTAGTTCTTCAGAATCTTATTTTTCTAATTAATCTGTTCAGCGATGATATTACAGACCTGTGGGATTTGAACACAGGCCTCCCGGTCCAGAGGTAGGGACACTACCACTGTGCCACAAGAATCCTGTTCATCAGGATAGAGTCCTAGGTCCAACTATCCACAGCTGCTGCTTAAGCATTCTTCCCTCCATCATGAAGTCAGAAATTGGAATGAATGTACAATGTTTAGTACCTTTTGCAATTCCTTAAATATGGAGCTGTTCACGTTCATGTGCAGCAGGACCTGTACAATGTTCAGTCTTGGGCTGTTAAGTTGTAATTAACACCTGTGCCACACAAGTGTCAGGCAATCACCATCTTTAACCAGAGAAAATGTAACTATCTCCCCTTGACATTCAATAGCAGTACCAATGTCTGCATGATGACCATTGACCAGAAGCTGATCCACAGTAACCATTAAAATACTGTGGTTACAAGAACAGTTCGTAGGTAGGAATTCTGAGAGATTTAATTTTTTTAAATTCATTCATGGGTTTGCGTTTTGCTGGCTGGACCAGTATTTACTGTTCATTGCTAATTACCCTGGAAAAATCAGTAGTTAGCTGCTTTCTTGTATTTCTACAGTTCATTTGGTGCAGGTACTCTCCCAGTGCTATAGTTCAAGGATTTTGACCGAATGTCACTGAAGGAATGGCGATGTTTTTCCAAGTCAGGAGGTGAGTGACTTGGAAGGGAACTTGCAAGTGGTGGTGATCCTATGAATCTGCTGCCCTTCTCCTTCTAGGCTGGAATGGTTGTGTGTGTTTGGAAGTGCTGTCTATGGAACCTTGTTGAATTTCCACAGTACATCTTATAGATGGTATAAACTGGTGCTAGTTGGTGGTGGGAAGAGTGAATATTTGTGGATATCATGCCGCTTAAAGGAGCTACTTTGTCATGGATATTGTCAAGCTTATTGAGTGCGGTTGTACTCAACCAGGCACGTCAGGAGTCATAGAGGTTTACAGCATGGAAACAGGCCCTTCGGCCCAACTTGTCCATGCCGCCCAATTTTCACAATTAAACTAGTCTCATTTGCCTGTATTTGGTCCATATCCCTCCATACCTATCTCATCCATGTAGCTGTCCAAATGTTTCTCAAATGACAAAATTGTACTTGCCTCTATCACTACCTCTGGCAGCCTGTTTCAGACACTCACCACCTTCTCTGTGAAAAAATTACCCCTGCATTTAACAAAAACTAGTATTTATTCCAAGTAAATCGACTTGAGCTACAGGTAAACGATTCTGAATCATCGGCAAAAAACTGTAATGTCCTTAAAATCTACCACCCCCACCACACATATACACACACACACACCAAAACCAAATGCATTCCGTGTGGAGGGAAAAGCACTTCAATGGTCGATGCTCATTGTTTCTGGATATTCCCGTTGGTTCGCACAAAGCACATGGTAGCTGCTTCACAGATAAAAGGCCTCTACATTATTGGTTGGAAGTCATATACAGTCATAGAAACATACAGCATGGAATCAGACCCTTTGGTCGAACTCGTCTATGCTGACAACTTTTCCCAAACTAAACTAGTCCCGTTTGCCTGCGTTTGGCCCATATTCCTCAAAACCTTTCCTAATCGTATACCTGTCCAAATATTTTTTAAATGTTGTAACTATACCTGCGTCTACCACTTCCTCTGACAGTTTATTTATTGCGTCACTCTTCCGATTTGTGCCTTGTGCATGGTGTATAGGCTTTGGGGAATTAGGAAGTGAGTTACTCACTGCAGGATTCCTAGCCTCTGACCTACTTTTGTAGCTGCAGTATTTATATGGCTGGTCCATTCAGTTTCTGGTCAATAGTAACCCCCAAGATGTTGATAGTGGTGGATTCACTGACTGTGATGCCATTGGAAATAAAGGGACTATGGCTAATCTTTCTCTTGTTGGTGATGGATATAACTTGGCACTTGTGTGATGTGAATGTTATTTGCCATTTGTCAGCCAAAGCCTGGATATTGTCTATGTCTTGCTGTATTCGAACATGGACTGCTTCAGTATATGAGGTGTCATGATTGATGTGAAAATTATACAATCATCAGTGAACTTCCTGACTTTTTTCCTTATGATAGAGAGAAGGTCATTGATGATACAGCTCAAGGTGCTACACTGAGGAACACAGAGATACCCTGGAGGTGAAGTGACTGAACTCCAACAACCACAACCATCTTCCTTTGAGCTAGGTATGACTCCAACCTGTGGGCAGTTTTGCCCTTGATTCCTATTAGCTCTAGTTTTGCTCGGGCTCTTTGATGTCAAGGGCAATCACACTCATCTCCTAGAACATAGAACAGTACAGGCCCTTCGACCCACGATGTTGTGCTGACCTATTATCCTACTCTAAGATCAAACTAACCTGCATACTCTTCATTTTACTATCATCCATGTGCCTATCCAAAAGTCGCTGAAATGTCCCTAATGTATCTGACTCTACTACCACCGCTGGCAGTGTATTCTACGCACCCTCCACTCTCTGTGTAAAGAACCGACCTCTGACATCTTCCCTATACCTTCCTCCAATCACCTTAACATTATGCCCCCTCGTGATAGCCATTACGCCCTGGGAAAAAGTCTCTGGCTATCCACTCTATCTATGCCCCTCATCATCTCGTACACCTCTATCAAGTCACTGTCTCTCAGAATCCTGTCCAGTAATTTGCCCACATAGAAGAAAGACTGACTGGTCTGTAATTCCCAGGGTTATCCCTATTTCCTTTCTTGAACAAGGGAATAACATTTGCCACCCTCCAATCATCTGGTACTACTCCAGTGGACAGTGAGGACACAAAGATCATCGCCAAAGGCGCAGCAATCTCTTCCCTCGCTTCCTGTAGTAACCTTGGGTATATCCCGTCTGACCCAGGGGACTTATCTATCCTCATGTTTTTCAAAACTTCTAGCACATCCTCCTTCCTAACATCAACCTGTTCCTCGCTGAAGGTTAGCTCTTTTGTCTATGTTTGAGCCAAGGTTGTAATGAATCATAGAATCCCTACAGTGTGGAAGCTTGCCATTCAGCCCATTGAGTCCATACTAACCCTCCAAAGAGCATCCCACCCAGATCCAATTCCCTACCCTATCACCCTGCCTTTCCCATGGCTAATCCACCTAACCAGCATATCCCTGGACAATATGGGCAATTTAGCATGGCCAATCTATCTAATGTGCATATCTTTGGACTGTGGGAGGAAACCAGAGGACCTGGAGGAAGCCCACACAGACACAGGGTGAACGTGCAAACTCCACAGACAGTTGCCCAAGGTTAGAATCGAACCCAGGTCCCTGGCGCTGTGAGGCAGCAGTGCTAACCACAGAGCCACCGTACTACCCCCTGAAGAAAACAAATCACAGGCAGTAAGGAGCTCAGTGATCCTGGCAGATTCTAATCTTCCCAAAGCCTATTTCACTATCCACAGTACATAAGGAGTGTGATAGAGTCCTTTATATTCCCATAGGTTAGTACAATAGATTACTGCTTTAACGACAGTCAAGAAGCTTGACACCATCAAAGGAAAAGCAGCTACACTTGATTTGCATCCTATCCATCAAGTTAAAGATTCATCTCCTTCACCTCAGCATAACGTGGTTGTATTATATTCCACCTACAATTTACATAGCAGGAACCAACCAAGCCTTTGACAGAACTTTCCAAACTCATGACCTCTACAACCTGAGAAGGACAAGACAATACGATGGAAACGCCACCAACTACAAGTTCTCCTCCAAGCCACATACCCTTCTTACTTACAACCACGTTGCCATTCTTTCATTATTGCTGGGACAACATCCTGGAATCACAGCGCTGTAGATATACCTGCACCACATGGAGTGCAGCAGTTCAAGAAACAGCTAACCACCACCTTCTCAAGTGTAATTAAGAATGGACAAGAAATGCTGATTTGGCCTATGATATTTGCTTCTGTAAAACAATTTTTAAAAACATCAGGCTGGAGGAATGGGTAGGCACATAGCAGATGAAAGTCAGTACAAAAATTGTGGAGTGTTACATTTTGATACTGAGACTGAAGGGAGACAATAGGTGCTAAATACTGTAATTTTAAATGGGTTACAATAGAGAGACCCAAAGGTCTCTCAAGTTGGCAACACACGTTAATATATAGTTAATAAAGCTTACGCGATTTGGCTTCATGAATAGGGGTTAAGAGTACCTCAGGTAGGAAGTCTATACTATGCACCTATATAAAACTCAAGTTCAGTCCCAGCTGGAAAATTAGATCCAGTTGCAGGCACTTTACGAAGAACATTCAGAGATTACAGAAGGGATTTATTAAAATGATGAATAATTACATGGATGGACTGCAGAAGCTAAGATTTTTCTGCTTTGAACAGAGAAGGTTAAGAGGAGATTATAGTGGGATTTGAATCATGAAGAATTTAGATTCAGGGTGTACAGTAAATAAAGAGAAACTTTTTCCAATGGCTGAATAATTGAAAACTATGGTGTACAGACTTAAGTTGATTGGTAAGACAATCACAGGCGACATGACCATAAATTATTTAATGTAATGAGTAGTTAGGAGTTGGAAATCATTGCCTGATAGGGTAGTGGATACAGATTCAAATCCAGTCCTTTAAAAATAATTGAGCAGATACTTGAAGAAGAAAAATGCAAGGATGTGAAGAAAGAGCACAGGAATGGAACTAACTCTTTGACCAAGCTGATAGCAACGTGCTAAATCATCACTTCTTGTGCAAACTATTCTAAAATTCTAAGGCTGAATTTTCACATTTGCAGTTAAAAGGTGATGGCAAGCAAGTTTCATGACAACTCCACCATACCTGAGCCATCTTTTCTCATGCTATCTTATGCTTTTGACCTTATTAATTATGCAAATGAGATGTTGTTTGTCTTACTCGCTGAATCTCATGATGATTCTCATCACCCTGCTACAGGAAAGATGTTGTGAAACTTGAAAGAGTTCAGAAAAAATTTACAAGGATGTTGCTGGGGTTGGAGGGTTTGATCTATAGAGAGAGGCTGAACAAGCTGGGGCTATTTTTCCTGGAGCACTTGAGGGGCGAGGGGTGACCTTATAGAAGTTTGTAAAATCATAAGGGGCATGGATAGGGTGAATATTCAAGGTCTTTTCCCCAGGGTAGGGGAGTCCACACTAGAAGGCATAGGTTTAAGGTGAGAGGGGAAAGATTTTAAAAAGGACCTAAGGGGCAACATTTTCACAGAGAGGGTGATGCGAGTATGGAATGAGCTGCCAGAGGAAGTGGTGGAGGCTGGTACAATTACAATATTTAAAAGGCATCTGGATGGGTATATGAATAGGAAGGGTTGAGAGAGATATGGGCCAAATGCTGGCAAATGGGACTAGATTAATTTAGGGTATCTGGTCGGCATGGACGAGTTGGACCGAAGGGTCTGTTTCCGTGCTGTACATCTCGATTGAGTCCGAGTGATAAAGGATTACACACTACTGGCAGGACCTTGAAACTTCCACCCTTCTGACAGGGTGGGACCTGGAGTGGTCACTCGCACTGTCCTTAAGACAGTTTTAGATTGTGGCAAGGCCTATATATCCTGGGTGTCATCATTTGCTTGCGTCTCCTGTTGGATCTGGTTTCCCTGTTTTGCATTCTTACTCAAAGTTAATTTGTTACCACGATGTAACATAGTGGTCAAAAGAAAAGCAACAACAGCAAAATCCATTAGTGTGATGGTATATCAACCTAACTACAACATAACAATTGTCTATATTTTCAAGGACTTAAAAAGATAATGTGCGGAAGCCAAGTATCATATATGGGATCACTGCTAACCCTGAAATTAAAAAGGCATTCTATACAATTCCAGAATTGGCAAATTATGAACCTCTATGGCTGCTTATTTCAACAACCAAATCTTGACTGATATTTTTTAATGTGTGAATTTCAAACCTGAGGTGTTCCTGTGTTAATTCTGAATCAATCTACCAGTATAAAAATTATGGAGTCACAGATTATACTTAACAGCATAGTATATGATAAATGTTGATAAAAGGTGAATTTCGTTCAAATCTCAATATTCAATACATTTTCTATTGTTTACTTAGTTTGATAAGTTGCACATACTGCCTAAAGTACAGTTTAAACAATTATCATATGAAAACATTCCAATTTTAGAACAAATATATTCTTAGATTGCCTTTTCCTTAGAATCAGCATTACAATGTTAATTATAATTCTACGTTGAGTAAATTACAAACAGAACAACCATCATAGGCATAATGCCCATAATTACAAGGATTACAAATCTACTAAGGCTTACAACTTCAGACATATTTCCACTGACTTCAGTTTTGTTTTAATCATTAAAACTTTCAGGGGACTCCCAACTATGCTACAGTCTCAAGCTTTTCCAGTTAGAATTATTTTTAGAACGCATAAACATTTGATAAAATCAAAATGAGTGATATTGAAAATTTGCTGCAATAAAAAGTACAAGTCTATGAAAAAGAAAACCGCATACAGGAATCCTTAATGGTCTGAAGATGCATTTATTACCAGAAGGTCAAGTTGTGCCTTTCTTTTCTGACTCACAAGAATAAATCAGTGTTCAAAATAACCTACAAAGCAATACTATATTTGGTTTCATAGCCTAAACTCTAAACATGTTATATGCATTCTGAGATTTTAAAGTTCAGGGTTGCTGTGGAAGCTCTAAAACTAAGAAATCCTGTGAAATGGATGAACTAAACTCCAGAATACCTAAACAATGAGGAATCCCTGTAAATCTTTTTTAAAAGAGCCAATGAATAACAGAAACTCTGATCGTGTCATATAAACTTACTTTATAAGCTTGTACTTACTCTTCAGCTTCAAAGAGGCAATATCTTATAGCATTTAAATTCTTTATAAATAGGTAATTAAATAGTTTGTGGAAAATTTTTAAGGTATGCTAATATAGTACGACATGAGAGCACAGGTTCACCATTCTGAAAAATAAATGTTTTAGGCATCAGAAATCATTTCTTTCCTTACAGGATCAGTAACTAGAACACTTTATTGGCAAGAAAGTTAGGTCAGGCCTAGAACAGATGTTCTGGGAAAAGATAAAGTGTATAAATGGACTTGCTTCATCTGAATCTTTCTGTAGATCTTACAATTGTTCCTGCCCTTTCCTGTCTCAGAAAATGATGCTTTTACTGAATAACCCAGTAGTCTGTGCTATAAGTGTGTGCTGTCACGATTTATAAAGCCATGTTGCTGTTAAAATATGGATTAACTATTTTGCATAAACATTTAATCTTGTCAAAAATACCTGACACTGAATCTATCCATTAATTGATCTTCAATTCCAGTGGTAAAGTCTTTGGAGATCATTTGAACCAGATTAAATTGAAATTATAGAACCGAGGCTTCAAAAAAACTCAACAGAATTAACTCATGATGATTGTCACACTTCAAACCATAAATATTGTTTCTATACGTGAAATTTAAGATGAAATAGGCTCTGCCAAGTTCAGATCATGGAACAGGGCAATTCCATTAATTAAATTACATGTATATAGGTGCATGATGATTGCTTTCAGGAGATAAGCATCTTTCACTGATTTGGTATTACTTTGGCATTTTGAAGGCTATTGCTTTAGTGTGTTTAGAATGGGTAGCTGAAAGTATGGTATTCAGTTAAATTTGCCTAAGTATTGTGCATTTCTTATTGCACAGTCAAAGTTTCAGCAGGGACATTTTTCATTCACAGATTAATTAGTGCACAAATTACACATTTGGTTGTTCCATGAGTACCACATTAATTTCCAAAGTATTCATATTACCTTTTAAAAACATATAATCTGCTCTTGCAGAAAATTTTAGATTTGTTAAAGTAATAGTATGGACTATTCTCATTTGATGTTTCAAAGTAAGGTTAAATATATTTTAAGTAATTTGTCTTTGATGAACGTTCTATTGTGAGATTTTTGCCAGAAGTGAATCTAAAAGTTTTCACAAGTCTAAGTGATGAGATTTATCATAATGGTACCATAGATATGAGATGTGGGGTATGTAAAGGTGGAAGAAGATGGTTTGTTTTCCATAAAGCAAAGCAGGGTAAATCTAACAAATATGTTCAACGTCATAAAAGGTTTAGAGTAAATAAGGAGAAACGGTTTGTAGTGGGAAAAGAATGGTTAGCCACAAGATGCAGATTTAAGTAACTGGCAAAAAGGCTGGGTAAAAATCAAATGATTTTTGCTTAAAAATGCAGCAAGTTGTTGTGATTTAGAATGCACTGCTTGAAAGGGTGGTGGGGAAACATTTTGCAAAGCTATGAGAAAATGGTGTGTGAGGGCGATGGGATGGGGGCAAGTGGGAACTAACTGTATAGTTCTATCAAGGCGTCAGTGCAGGCACACTTTCCTTCCAATGTAGGATTGTATACAGTACACCAGGCCATTGTGGTCAACCAGTCCATGCTGGTGTTATGCTCCACTTGAACCTCTTCCCATCTGTGCTGTATTATTCCATAATTTAAAGTCATCAGCAACGTATTTTTCTACCATTGTGAACACATTCTGTCTCACTTGTCACACAAACAGAAATTAATGGAGAAAATCATCTAGGTTTGGCAGCATCCATGGGGAGAAGGCAGAGTTAACATTGAGTCCAATGACTCTTTATTAGCATGAGTCACTAGACTTGAAATGTTTACTCTGCTTTCTCCCCACAGATGCTGCCAGACCTGCTGAGTTCCACTAGCAATTTCTGTTTTTGTTTCAGATCTCCAGCATCCACAGTTCTTTATTTTACTTTCATTTGGCTCCTGTGACAGAGGAAAGCACTCGCTGCTATTATTTGAATCTAAGGCTTAAACTCCTCAAATAAACAAATTATTATTAGAAAGCTCAAAGTTAAAATTCTAAATCAATTCCCTATCAATCTCCTTTATATAAACTCAATACATATTACTTTAAATTTGCACTGCTTGCATGGTTTATCCTCCTTGAAAACTTCAGTAATTTTTGCAAACAGCAAATATGGAAGACTTTGCATGCTCAGTATGAGATACAAATGAGATGCACACTTTCTATGTCAGAAAATAAGATTTAATTGTTTTTCTTTAAGATCATAGATATCTGGGGGTTAGACCTGCAGTCGGCAAAGAGGAGGAGTAAAATAATTTTATGTGGATACGATAATTCATGAAAGGCAAATCTAAATAAGTGGAACCCATGGGAAAAGCTGACTCTTCAAAATGTTATACATTCGTAATGTGTGCTCTCCAAACAAGACAAAATAATAATTTTTGAAGATGTCATGCTTTATTTACTTTATTCAAAGAAAAAAGTATTCCACAGTACTAGCAACTAGCAAACTAAATGATTGCATGACAGAATTAGACAGCACAGCATCTGATAAATGAAGCAGAGCTCCACTAAAGATTATGAAGTTTGAACATACAACACACTGTATATTTAGCAACAGTGGCCATTGATAAAAATCAGTCAATTCTGGCTTTAAACAGCCAAAACTGGGAATCATAGGTTGACTGTTTTACAAATATCAGAAACCAAAAGGTTTCAGTAATTGTTGTGACTGCTAACATTAATTTAGTTTGAGACCCAAGAATATTTCACACAGTCTGTAAATATACACCTGAAAGCACCAGTGTTTGTGATGGGATAGGAAACCATGGCAATTGAGCTGGACCAGAAACAATTAGAAGTGAACAAAAAGAGTACAAGTAATTGTAAGACTTAGAGACATTTCTTGTTCCAACCACCACCCTCAGCCATGATTCTCAGTTCACAAAGAAATTATTTGACAATCATAGTAAATTACAGAGCCATTCTAATTTTAAATACATTATACACCCATTCTCCATGTATACTGTGGAAATTGCAGCAGTAATACAAAGGGCCCTTTACAAGTCATTACCCAGATTCATTATTTACAGCATTTTGGTTCTTATACCTGTAATTTTTAGTCAATCTGATTTTAAAATG